GATGTTTATACAGAAAAAAAGGCTCCTGTAGACATGTGATAGGTGCTGAGTACTTGTTGCTGGAAATTTAAGAAGTATAAAGCATCTTATTTGTGCTTATCCAGATGACTGTGGTTAAATGGTGAACACTTCTGTTTAAATTTCCTATTATGAGAAGATCATGAGCCCTAATTATGTTTTTTCATTATTTCCTGTACTATAAAGAAAAAAATGGTCCAATTTGCCCTTGGATATAACAATGGTCAGTGGCTGAGAAAAACCACTTGCTGTTGTCATCTATGTCAGGGAACTGGCGCAGGGTGACTCATAATAATCTGTGGCCACTTCAGCAGAGGATAGCAATTACAGCAAGGGCATCTCTGTGTTGTATTTCAATGTGACAGGCTTGCCAAAGTGATGGGCAGTAAGTGCACAAGCCACAATGTTTTAGGATAATTTGTAGAATGAATAGAGCAGAGATCTTTGTCAAAGAACATAAAAATTAACTTAGCAAATTTCATCCTGGTTATTTATATACTAGAGGCCCGATGCACAAAATTTGTGCACGGGTAGGGTCCATAGGCCTGGCCGGTGATCAGGGCAAATCTGCGGGGTGACCAGCGGGGCAATGGGGGGGCCCCTGCTTGCATCTGCCTTGGCTGGCCTGGGGCCTATTAGCTGGGGGCAGCTCCTGCATTGAGCGTCTGCCTTCTGGTGGTCAGTGTGCATCATAGTGACCAGTTGTTCTGCTGGTTGTTCTGCTGTTCAGTCAATTTTCACATTAGGTTTTCATTATATAGGATATACTAGAGGTCCAGTGCACAAAATTGTGCACTGGAGGGTGTCCCTCAGCCCAACCTGTGCCCTCTCGCAATCCAGGACCCCTTGGTGGACATCCCTCTCATAGTCTGGGATCCCTCGCTCCTTACCACCTGCCTGTTGGCTGCTCCTTACCACTCAACTTGCTGCTCCTTAGTGCTTCTGCAGAGGCGGAAGAGGCTGTCACCACTGCCGCTGCGCTCACCAGTCGTGAGCCTGGCTTCTGGCTGAATGGCACTACCGCTATGGGAGCACACTGACCACCAGGGAACAGGTCTTGCATTGAGTGTCTGCCCCCTGGTGGTCAGTGCAGATCATAGTGACTGGTCATTCTGCCTTTTGTTTGATTTGCATATTAGGGTTTTATTATATAGGATATCTTAGAAACCAAGCCACAGCTCAGCTTTTTCTTTGGTCAAATATTTAACAAAATATTGGCAGATATTGATTCATCAAAGACTTGAATCATTCTTTGTCAAGTCTAGGCAGGTCTACATCAACTTGCTCAGTTACAGAGAGTTGAGATAGTTCAGAAACAAAAGATTCATATGATGATAATAAGCATAGCAATAATAATTATTCCTTAGTAATGACCAATAATACCAAAAGCAAATGGCTCTGGTCAGTGTTGCTAAGTGGTTAGAGCCGTGATTGGCAAACTGCAGCTCGCAAGCCACATGCGGCTTGTTGGCCCCTTGAGTGTGGCTCTTCCTAAGCTTTAGCAGTACCCTAATTAAGTTAATAACAATGTACCTACCTATTTAGTTTAAATTTAAAAAATTTGGCTCTCAAAAGAAATTTCAATCGTTGTACTGTTGGTATTTGGCTCTGTTGACTAATGAGTTTGCCGCCCACTGGGTTAGAGCATTGGTCTACACACCAAAGATCTCAGGTTTCATTTTTGGTCATGACATGTACCTGGGTTGCAGGTTTGATCCCCACCTTCAGGAAGCCACCCATTGTCTTCACTATCAGAGAAGTGCAAACAAGGATCCTGGAATGCTGGTGAACCTTGAACCCATGGCAAAGGCCAGAGTTATGCACTGATTGTCTAGTCCAGACAATGGGGGCTCAAGTTATTTCCTGATCAAATAGTCTCAGAGTAAATCCTTCTAATATTTACTGACCTTTAAGATAGTCTGTCTGTTACCACAATTACCTGCCTAAGAGCTAGATGTGTATCCAATATTGAATAAAAGGCTGGTGAGGCCTGGGCACCAGGGGACGTCCTTTCTCTTGCATTGGGCTTGCCCATCTGGCCCCCAATATTTCCAAATTATTATTTCTTGTCTCATCTCTTTCATTTGCGTGCGACCCCTCCTCCAGATCCCGAATCCTGAACCACGCGGGATGTGGGGAACATTCACACCCACCCTGGGGGTTGGGTGCGTATGGGAGGCAACCAATTGATGTATCTCTCACATCAATGTTTCTCTTTCTCTCTCTCTATCCCTTCCTCCCTCCCTTCTTCCCTCCCTCCCTCCCTCCCACTCTATTGAAAATCAATGGAAACATATCCTGGGATGAGGATTAACAAAAATAAATAAATAAATAAATAAGAAAATGGAAAGATCCTTTTTAATGTGCCCAGTCATCATGCGGTGTTTTGGGGTGCATTGTAAATTATATGTTGCCTCAGGTGGGAGGGGAGTGTAAGAGATCAACTAAAGGAGTTGTATGCATGCATATAAGCATAACCAATGGACACAGCCAGTAGGGGGGCAGGTACATATGCTGGGGGCTGGGAACGGCTGGGGAGAGGTCAATGGGAGAAAAAGGAGACATACGTAATACTTTCAACAATAAAGAATTTAAATTAAAAAAATTTATATGTTGCCTCAAAAATTGCCCTTATTGAGTCCTGCTGCCGGGTACTCATGCCCAGTGTCATCCCTCTCCCTGAGTGTGGCTGGCAGAAGTGATGGGATGTCACCTCAGAGATCAGGTTGCAAAATTCTGTGGCCTCCATCTTGGGTGTTCTCTCTCACTTTTTCTTGTTTGCTTCCTCAGGTGAAGCTGGGGGGCCATGCTGCAAGCTCCTGTATGGAGAAGCCCATCTGGCAAGGAACTAAAGAAGGACCCCAGTCAACAGACAAGGGAAAACTGAGCCACTCAGCCAACAGGACTGACACCTGCCCACACCTATGCGAGTGGTCTTGGATGTGGGTCTTCCCCCATTGGAGCCATCAGATGGAACTGATGGCTGGCCTTCAGCATGACCGCACTCGCAGGAGAGACTGTGAGCCAGCCACGCCTCGGGAGGCCACCTCCAGACTTCAGACCACAGGAACCCTGAGATGGTAAACGTTTGTTGTTTTAAGCTGTCAAGTCATAACTAATAGGTATATATGTACTAATATTGAATTAGAGTGTCTTTTGTTAGAGTTCTAGCAGCAAATAGAGGACACTTAACTGGGATTTTGAAAAAAACTGTGGGCAATGTTAGGAAAATGAATGAGGTATAAAGAGGCAGTCAGGTCTCACAACAGTGAGAAGTCTTTAACATACTTTGACTTGAAGGATGTGATAAAGGGTATGCTATTTTTAAAAATCTAAAATACTTTTTTATATTATAAAAAAATAGGAGAAAAAGTACAGGCATACCTTGTTTTATTGCAGTGGTTCTCAACCTTGGCTGCACATTAGAATCACCTGGGAATCTTTTTAAAATCCTAATTTCTGGGCCTCATCCTCCGGAAATTTTGTTTCTTTGTTACTAATGTTGTGGCCCCACCCCATCACAAAGAAACAGAATTTCCGGAGGATGAGGCCCAGAAATCAGGATTTTAAAAAGATTCCCAACCTATCATGTATACCATTAGGTTGCTAAATACAGGCATACCTCGTTTTATTGCACTTTGCTTTATTGCACTTCACAGATGTTTCGTGTTTTACAAATAGAAGGCAAGATCCCCCACCAGCAAAAAGATTAAGACTTACTTGATTGCAACATTTTATTACAGTGGTCTGGAATCAGACCCGTCATATATCTGAGGTATGCCTGTAATGCTATCAAAATTATTTTGTATTGTCTAGGGGAATAATGCAGCTTTTCAGAAAATGAATGGAATAGTATTTTTAATTAGGAATACTATTTTTAATATTAGTTTTAATTAGGAATGAATAGATGTACATATGTACTGTGCTATGTTTTTTCTTATTTTAATCTCATAAGCATTTTGTATGTTATTATAGCACATGCTCTTCACAAGCACTATTGCCAAGGGACTAGTACATCAAATGCATCTAACGAAGTTTACCTAACCATTCCTCTTCTGTTTAATGTGTAAGTGGCTTCCTGTTATCTTTGCTGAGTTAAATGTTATGGACATTGTTAGATTGCTAATACTTAGTTCCAAACTACTTTCCTAAAAGCATGCACCTGGTCAATGTACTCTCAGGGTTTTTCTCCGAATACCCCGCTCTGTGCTACAAATGAAAACTAACATCCCAGAGGCTGTCCCCATATTCAACTCTACAGCCCTCCAATGCCCTTAATGGAGCTCTAGGAAGGAACATGAAATGTCTACTACATGCCAGGCTCTGTACCTTTCATCCATTCATTCACTCATTCACTCACAAGTTATGTTGAGTGTATACTAAGGGTCAGGTACTGCTTACACAGTAATAAGCTACTAAGTACTAACCTCAGGAGTGCTCGGCCTGTGTCAGAGTGGTCTTCAAGGTGTGCACAGTGGACAAGATGAGCACGCAAATAACTGAACAAGTAAGTTAAGTGTAATAACTGCCAGTAAGAAGTGGCCATTGCTATTTTTGAAGTGCTTTTCTACGTCTTTCATAATCTCCTGACGTTGAGTGTGTTTTATAGTAATTCGGAGGAAATTTGCACAGATAAAACCAAGAGATGAAATAAGACAAAAATAACCGATTAAAAAGAGAAACCTCGCCCCCTGAAACTAGTTCTGCCCTCCTACGGCCCCTCCCTGTACTGCAGCCTCCGACCCATACTTTGCTCCCTGCTGCCCTTGGAGGGTTCCTTCTCCCGGATCCCAACTAAGGGTTCTTTGCTCGCGAGAGTTTCCCCGTCTTCTCGCGGGATCCCAGGCTGCCGCAGGGGAAGGCGGCGGAGGAGAGTCGGGCTTTCCGCTCAATAACACTCTCCAGGCCCCGCCCCGCTCCGAGCTCCCCGCCCAGCCGACTTGGTTGCACGTGTATTTGTTGTGATTCTCCCTCACGTGACTGCGGAAGTACCGGCCCCTTAGGCCCCGCCTTCAAGATGGCGGCGCCCAGTGCGCGGGGTCGCGACGTGCTTCGGTTCCACAGCGGGTTATAGCGTGGGCGGTGTTTCCGGGCCATGGACCGGCCCGGCTTCACGGCCTCGCTGGTGGTGAGTGCGGGCGGGAGAGGGGTGCTCGGAGGCCGGAGTCCGGCCCGGCGCTGGTCGGGCCCCTCCGCACTGGGATGTCTCCCGGTTTGGCGCGAACTGCGCTCTCGTCCCAGGTCACCGAGCCTGGGAGCCGGCGCGGGGCGCGGGGC